AAAACAACACAAACTCAACTTTGAAGTAATCCTGAACAACCAAATTCATATATGTTACACACGTAGGGCTAATCTTGTTACACTGTTCAGGGCACTCTCAACAACCATCGCAAAGTACCGTTTTTCTGTGAGTTTTTCGGGCATTTTCACCGCTTAGAGGGCAACCTTTAATATTTTGTTCAATAAATTTAGTGCTTCAACATTTTCAATTTTCAATGTGTAACAATGTTTTCAATAACAAATATCCACTAGAACTGTTTGTTTGCTTTACCATTTTAATAAGGACAGTGCTGGTATCATTTAGGGCTAAACCATTCAGCAAAACATAGTTGAACTCTGGTGACCTTGCCCTTTGTTATATAATATAATTCCCTTTATCATAGTTTGTTTCAATATAAATATGCATTGTCATAATTAATTTTGAATACAAACAAGTTTTGGGGTTGAACCAACAGTGGGGAATCAGTCTACCGAATGTCCTTAAAAGATGTAAATATCTTACAAAAACATTGGTGCCTTATTTGTTTAATTATTTTAAGGAACATAATTTCCAGCTTTATTGAAAGTAATTGAGATATTTTAGAATAAAAACAAATGTCTCATTGCAAAAAAAAGTGCTGCATTTAGATGTGAATAGATTCATAAAACATGCAAGATAACAGAAAAATTTAGCTGGCTTTAGTCCAAGTATTTTGTACAGGTGTCTGTCAAAAATGAATGATTCACTGAGACAAATATGAACTGCCTCATTGTGTGACTACTGTATTATATGAAAAGTAAAAAAACAAACACCCTTTATGAATAGCTATCATGTTGCAAGCTCTGCTTTGTCCAGTGGAGGGAGAAGTCAACAGTACTGTTGCCTCCTGAGAATCGACATCTTCAAACACTGCAATCTTTGAAGTGCGTTTTTAAACTAGTATTATAAAAACTCTATCATTCTGTTCTAATAGCTGAAACATATTCCTGTGAGTTTTCATTTATCGAATGAACTGTTTGTCAAATACAGAATACATATATTTTAGAATAATCTTCTTTTTAAAATGTGGATGAAATGTTTTGCTTTTAATGTATTTTTTATGTATTGTTTTTGATTTGATAACTTTGAACTAAACAGATTTTCTATTAGCTTCAGATCACCAGTGATCAGTCAAGTAGAAACAGTCAAAATATTTTATCAGATTTTCTCAATTTTTGCATGATATTTTCATACAGGACATCTATTGTTCAAACTCAGGGAAGACTTTATACTGATGAATAAGGTGACCAAGTTTGATAAAGTTTGGAATAGAATTAGTAAAGTTATTATGCACACAATAACAATTATTAACGACGACGACAACAACAACGACAACACAGGACAAAATTTTTCCCTTAATATACCTTTCCCTTCCATCTTTGATGGTACGGGCAAGGTAAAAAGGAGGGATGTGCAGTCAGAATTTGTAACTAATCAGGTTGGCTTGGAGATTATGTTGAAGTTCATAGAAAATAAATTAACAATAGTGTTGACTTTGACAGATCACTCAACATAAATTAACATCATGGACAACAACACTTTTGTTTCTGTATATACATATACGGGGTAATGCACACTCTACATTACCAGGGTACATCTGCTTTTGAA